CATGTCCTGCCCTCTCTTCTTCCTGGGTTCTCTGTCTCCGGTCCTCCTCCTCTCTGGGATGTTTGGGACTCCCACCCCTGCTGTCCCTTTGCCACTCTAGTCTTGGTCTCTCTTCCCTCTGTCCCTGGTGTCCCATCTTTCTCTATCTTGGTCCACCCTCCGGCCCTGGGTCCCTGTCTCCTGCCTGATCCTCCCCACGCCACCCCTGCCTCCCTCAGGCGACACAGGGGAGATCAAGTCAGAAGTCCGAGAGCAGATCAATGCCAAGGTGGCTGAGTGGCGTGAGGAGGGCAAGGCAGAGATCATCCCTGGGGTGAGTACTGGGGCATGGCCGGGGCAGGCGGCTTTTGGTGGTGGGAAATGGGAGGAGAGAGGCTCGGGTGGTGGGTTTGACGTACTCCCCAATGGCTCCCAGGTGCTGTTTATCGACGAGGTCCACATGCTGGACATTGAAAGCTTCTCCTTCCTCAATCGGGCCCTGGAGAGTGACATGGCGCCGGTCCTCATCATGGCCACCAACCGTGGCATCACCCGGTAAGCCAGCTGCTGGCCCGTCCCTCAAAGGCCTCTGGGAAAATGGGGTGCTCCAGGCAGTGGGTATAGGCACAGGGTAACCAGGGCATGTTTGTTGAGCTCCCTGCTAGGAAGGGTGTGGGCTTGGGTGTTGCAACAAGGCTGCCCCCAAGTACCGGGGCCCAGACAGAAGGCTGTGCTTCTCCCTCAAACAAGGTAGGCGGGTGCTCAGGGCGGTAGGCAGGCAGCTCTGCTCCGTAAGGAAGCTGAGGGACCATGTTCTTTCTGTCTTTGTTCCCGGAACCCCGGGGGCTACACTTCCCAAACCGTGTGCCGAGGCATCCCAGCGTGCTGCAGAACACACAGAGTGCTGCGGAATGGTTTAAGTTTCTGAGGGATGCACAGAGATGTGTGTTGGACACTGCGTAAATCACTACACTTAGTTCACTTTTCCCTAACCACTTTACAGAACAGAGCTTAATACTACTTTTGGCTTAAGAATGCCTGGGAAACATTCCCGAGCCATGAAGCGCCCCAGGTTCTGGTAAAGCTTGGGGACCCCTGCCCTAGGGTGTTGCTAGCACCCCTCGCCCTGTCGTCCCAGCTGGCCTTCTTCTCTGCCTCGTCTGTGTCCTGGGCGGACAGGGAGGACGAAGTGGGGGTTCAACAGCCCCCAGGAGGCTGAGGCCCGGAGGACCACCCGTCATCACCGCAGGGGGCAAATGGGCAGACTGTCCCTGGCTTGTTTCCCGGGTGAGCTGCTCCGACCCTTAAAATAAGCTCAGGAGGTGGATATTGTATCAGCCCCCTGTTACAGGTGAGGACAGCTAGGCCCCGTGACGTGCACGGAGAAGGTGTCAGGGCCAGAGTTGGATCTCTGAACCAGACGGGGAGAGACCAGCCGAGGGCGGGGCGCCTCCCGGGCCAGGCTGCAAACCCAAGTCACTCCTCGTTATCTGCACACCATGTATTTGGGAGTCTGCATCCTCTCACTAACGTTGATTTGTAAGCCCCCCCCGCCCACCCCCCCACCCCCAGTCCGTACTGGCGACACTCTGGGGCTCAGGTGCAGACGCGCGCGGAGAGGCAACACATTTGAGTCGCCCGATATGGACACTCCAAACCAAGGTCGTGCAAGGTGACACCCCGCCTGCCTTCTGGTTTCAGCTCACCTGCTGTAAATGAGTGTCCTTTTCCCGGTCTGTTTAGTGTCACATTTGCCACATTTTATGCCTTTTATTGGGGATTTCATCTCTAAAGGGGCCCGTCGCTGCCCAGTGCCCCTAAGCAAAAGGCTGGGGTGGATGCGCCTTATAGAGGAAGTGTGTGTGTTAGATGAGCTTCATTCAGGCCTGATGCAGAGTGTTAGCCGTTAGCCATGAGTTCAAAGGGCGTGAGTCAATGACGTTTGTTAAATAAGATGTCTTTAAATAGAAGCACATAGGACCAGGTTATATGTTGGTTGGTTGACAAAAATATTGTGATCAGAGGCTCACAAGAACTTAACCGTGTACGTCCCGGAGAAGCGGTGGTGCATCATTTGCTGCTGAGCGTTTGCCCCACTTTATAGAACGTAAATACCATGAATAACGAGAATCCACTCTAGCTCCTGGGCCCTGCGCTAGGCCAGGTGCAGCGGGGAATAGGACTGGCAGTCTCTTCCCTGTGGAGCTCTACGTCACGCAGAGGAGTGGGACCTTGATCCAGTAATCCCAGATAGAGATACCTAGCTAAAACCAGCCCAGCCCTGTGGGGGGGTGACACAGCTGGGGGGCGGCTGCACTGTCGGTGGTGACAGCAGCCATGAGCTGAAGGTTAAATGGCATTTGCCCAGTGAGTGGGCCGTGGTGGGGGTGGAGAGGAGAGGAAATGGAGAGCTGGTTCTCGGAGCATCTCCCTGACAGCCCTCCCTGACCCCCTCCTCCCCAGGATCCGGGGTACCAGCTACCAGAGCCCCCATGGCATCCCCATCGACCTGCTGGACCGACTGCTCATCGTCTCCACCTCTCCCTACAGTGAGAAGGACACAAAACAGATCCTCCGCATCCGGTATGGGCAGAGCCGCTGGTGTTCTGGGGCAGGACCAGGCTGCGGGCCTGAGAGGCAGGGCTGGCACCCACCCTGTTTGGCAAGTGGGGGCGGCAAGGTCTGAGGGGGAAGGTGTGTGGGTCTGCAGGAGGTACGGCTGGGCTGCGCATCCAAGTAATGGCGTCTGATCTGGGGCTGGGGAAAGAGCCCTGGCTGGGGAGCGTCGGGGGGCCCAGGCTGCAGGCCCAGCCTGTGCCTCACTGGCCCTTCTTGCTCAGCGTTCTGTGGTTCTGAGGACATAGACTCCACATGTCCCCCAGGATGTCCCGCAGTGCCCTGGGGGGGAAGGGCCGGCCAGGCGTCCTGGCCCTGGCTGACACCCCCCCCACCCCCGCACCTGCCCACAGGTGTGAGGAGGAAGACGTAGAAATGAGCGAGGACGCTTACACAGTGCTGACACGCATCGGGTTGGAGACCTCGCTGCGCTACGCCATCCAGCTCATCACGGCTGCCAGCCTGGTGTGCCGGAAACGCAAGGTCAGCCCAGGGAGCCCCCAGGGCCAGCCCGAGTGAGTGAGTGAGTGAGTGCCCCAGTCACCGCTCCAGGGGCTCCGAGCGCATTGTTGGATTTAGTCCCAGAACAGGGGTTTTCAAAGGCCGGAAACTTGGGTCAGTGGAGTTTATACCTGTATCTCCTGGCCTGACACCTAGCAGGTGCTTCGTAGATGTCTGTCAGCTCCAAGTTACCGCTGTCCAGTCCATCTTCCAGATGAAGAAACCCAGGACTGGAGGGGTTGGGCCCTGAGCCGGGAGGTGGCCAAGGCAGGATTCGAACCCAGGCAGTCTGGCTCCAGAGTCCCCATCCTGACCCACCTCCCCGAGAGGGGCCCCACTGAGGTCTGACCATCCCCTGTCAGGGCACGGAAGTGCAGGTGGATGACATCAAACGGGTCTACTCGCTCTTTCTGGACGAGTCGCGCTCCACGCAGTACATGAAGGAGTACCAGGATGCCTTTCTCTTCAACGAGCTCAGTGAGTGTCCCCTGCTGCGCCTGTCCCCAGGGTCACCCGCCCCAGAGGGCAGGCGGGTATCTGATCTGGAGATCTCAGGCCCTGCTCCCTGGGCCACACTGACCACCTGGCCTTCCTTCCCCCGACAGAAGGCGAAACCATGGACACCTCCTGAGCTGATGTCACCCTCACCCTCTCCCCACCCCACCCCACCCCACCCTGTTTTCTACTAGAGTTCTGACACTGTAACTTTATATAAAATGGTTCTGAAACTGGACCCATTCTCTCTTTTTTTTTTAGAGCGAGAGCTCATGGAGCGGTGAGGGTGGGGTGGCAGTGGGGGCAGAGGGAGAGGGAGAAAGAGAGTCTTAAGCAGGCTCCAGGACACCCAGCGTGGAGTCCAGTGCGGAGCTATTCCCATGACCCTGAGATCATGATGACCTGAGCCAAAATCAAGAGTCAGACGCTTAACGGACTGAGCCACCCAGGCGTCCCTGAAACTGGACCCATTGTGTGTGTGTGTGTGTGTGTGTGTGTGTAGACGCGTGCATGCACCTTGAGCCTGACAAAAGACCACCTGAGTGCAGTTTGAGAAGCCTTTATTATTAGGAGGGGAGGAAAGAAGCATCTGCTGGCTCCAGGAGTTGGGGTGTGGGGGGGACCCTTAGAGGAACAGGAGGCCTGGGAGCGGGGGGCGGTCACAGGCCAAGGGTTGGGCTCTGGGACCCCCACAGTCGGAGTTGCTGAGGCGGCAGGGCCCGCAGCGACAGCTGAGGGCCACGGGGAAGGAGACCATGGGGTCCACGCCAGGCGGGCATCCAGGGAGCCGGATGGAGGCAAAGCGCAGCTCGTGGTAGGTGCAGACCGGCTGGGGCACAGGCGGCAGGACGGCCGGCAACACTCGCACCTGTGGGCCGGGGGGTGGGGGGGGGGCATGGCTATCCACCTGTGGTCAGCAACCCCCCCCCCTGAGCTCCCCCGCTGCCCCCCACAGGTCACAGACTCAGGTGTCCAGCAGACCCCCTGTGCTCTCCCTCCCTCCCACATGCCCAGCTCGGACTCCCCAGTTCCCCAGCCCCTGCCCAGGGGGTGGGCCACCCTTCCATCCCGGCTGCCGCTTCCCATGTGATGTGGGCCCGGCCCTGAGTAACCCACCCGGAGCTGAGGCGGCAGCACCTGTTCCCACTCCAGCAGGGCTGCCCCCCCCCCCCCCCCCGCATCTCACCAGGCTGGGGCAGTAGCCGGCACAGATGGTGGTGGTGAAGGTGATACAGACCGGGCAGGCCTCGTTCTCGGCGGCCAGGGTGGCGTTGATGGGCCGGCATAGCGGCCGAAGTGGCCCCCTGGATGCCCACACCCCACCCACGTTCAGCAGCAGCCACAGCAGCAGCCCCTGGGACAAGGCCAGTGTCTCAGGGCCAGCCAGACCCTTCTACCCTGAGCCCTTGCCCTCCCATCCCCCACACAGACACCTTCGGGACCCAGCTCCCCTGCCTGGCATCTTCCATTCGGGACCATCCCTCCCACTTTGAGCCCCTGCTCCAGTACTCGGGAGCCCCAGGTACTCCCAACACTGCAGATTCCTACCCTCGGGCCCTGCTCCACCTGCTGCCCTGCTGGCCAGAAGCCTGCTGGCCGTCCCCACCCTTCTAGAAGGAAGCTTCCATCAGGTCACAGGACTCTCCCTCTTTGTGCCAGCTGTGGCCTGGATGGAGTTGCAAGGTGCCTAGGGGCCTCCTACAGTCTTACCTGGAGCGTCTCCATCCTCAGTGCCTCCCCTATGATGTTTACCTGGTCTTATACTTGCAGGCTGTGGGGGCGGCAAGGCCACTGGGGGTGGCGGCATGATGGGGTAACCTGGACACTAATCTTTCCGGGGGCGAGAAGCAGAAAAGGTCAGGGAGGTGTGCAGGAGTGGCTCTGTGGAGTGCCCCTTACTCCCACTCCCTGAGGGGCTCCCACGCCAAGAAGCGGGAGACGCCCGAGGTGAAGCTGACTTCCCGGACTCAATCCTCAGGTGCTAAGGAAGTCGCGCTGCGGCCACAGGGACTAGGCTACGGGGAGCCCTTGGCCTTGCCCCCGGCCGTGTGGCCTCGTCTCTGCCCATCACGGTGGGAGCCAGGGGAAGGCTGAAGGTCGCCCCTCCCAAGGACCCTCGAACGGTGATCCCCTGAGCCCTCAGCCCCCCTCCACCTGCCATAGACTGAAAGCCACGGTGCCAGTCTAACCTCTTCTGGGGGGCGTGGCTTCAATATTGGATTCTGTGCCCAGAGGCGGGGTTCCACCTGCACGCACACGTGCCTGCCTTCCACGAGGGATTCAGCGGGAGCCCCATCTCCCCCACACTCAGGCCCCCAGAGCCGAACCCAGCAATGGGCATGGTTTAGGCTATTTAACTCTGTCGTCGACTAGGAAGCTCCGCCCCCTCTATCGCAGAGGGCGTGTCCCGCCCGCGAGCCCACAGCCCCAAAGTACATTTTCCCGGCTCAGCTCCCACCTCCCTCCCCGACCCCGGCAACCCTGCGGTCAAGTGTGGGATTCGCCCCGCCCACCGGGTCCTGGCCTCCGTCTCGCTCCCACGTCATGGGCGGGGTTCCCGGCCTTAGCCCCGCCCCGTGGGGGCCCCAGAGGCCGTGCTCTCGGCTCGGCCCGCGCCCGGGGGGCGTGTCCGGGGCGGGGCTGGCGCTGCCGGCTCACGGCGGGGCTGGCTTCCTGCTGCCGTAGCTGGAGTTCTCAGTGCGGTAGGCCTGCGGCACGCTGTAGATCCCCGACATCGGCTTCCAGTGGGGGCCTCCCCAGGGCAGCTCCAGCGGGCAGAAACGGTCGAGCCGGAGGAGCGGGTGCAGCGGGGGTCTGTAGGACTCCCGAGCCAGAGACAACGCCCCGTGGTGTGGCACGGCTGTCGTCACCGGATGGACATGGGGCACGCGCATCCCTGGCGGCCGAGAGGGGCACGGCCAGGGTGGCCTCTGTGGGTCATGGCCCCAGGCCTGAGGCGCCTTCTCAAAGCTCCAGTAGGTCAGCGAGTCCTTGCGGGGATATCCAGACAACTCCTTCCTCTTGGTGAGGGAGGCAGGAGAGGGAAGGCACAGTTGGAACCTAGGGACAAGGCTGAGGTTCAGACCTCGCGTTCTGAGGAGCCTGTAGACCTGAACTCCTGCGTTTCGAGGCAAGAACACATTTGTAGGATTCGGGGACCCCTCAGGAAGGATGGGGGCTGGGGACTCCTAACCTGGATTCCTGGGTCTCGAGGTCCTTAAGGGCCTGGAATCTGGAGTTTTCGAATCCTTGGGAAAGAGTATCTGGGAACCAAAGTAGGCCCCGCCGTAGACCCTTAGGGCCCCGCCCCTGGTCCCGAACCCCTTCTTGGGCAAGCGGCAGGTTTCATATTCCTGAGAGTTGACACTAAGGATACCTGGGTGCTAAAAAAAGGTACGGGTTGGGGTCTGAACTTCTGGGTCTTGAGCGTGCGGGAGCTGAAGGCTGAGGCTCCTGAGTCGGACAAGGGGGAGCCGACACCCGGGTTCGGCGTCGCACCGGCCTATGCCGGGGGCGGTGCCGAGCGAGGACCCAGGCTCACTTCGGGTAGGCCCGGAGGTCCTTGGCTGAGGTGGTCAGATAGAGTTGATGGCGGTCCAAGACGCCCTGGTCAGATACTGTGAAAGACCGGCCGGCCAGCTCGGGGTTCTTTGTCCAGGGGATTAAAGCCTGAGGAGGATCCGGGGAGGACAGAATGAGCTAGAAGGAGGTTTCATACCGCATTCCAGGCCCTGGGTCCCAGACTCAGGATCCCTTTTCCTTCGACCCAACAGCCCTCACACCCGCCCCCAGAATCCGAATCCTTCCTGACCAATCGCAAGCCAGCGCACTTTAGCTTCGCTCCCCAAATCAGAACCCTTATTAGGGTGACTCCAAAATCCAAACACTTGTGGGTCATCGAACACAAAACCCAGCCCCCAACCACAAAAACAAAACAAAACAAAACAAAACAAAACAAAACAAAACAAAAACCTTCCCAGCTCCGCCCCCAGACTCCTGGCTTCCACCTCCCGCCTGGAATTCAGCCGCACCTCCGGCCACCGTTCCCCTTAGCTCATCCACTCCGGGAAAGCCCAGCCCTGCCTCCCGACCTCGGCTCGGGAAGTTCAAGACCCGCCCCCACGTACCGTCCGCCGCCGAGCTCGGACCCCGGCCTCAGAACCCCTCCCAGCCCCGCCCCAGGACTCACTGGTTGTGGCCCCAGCCTCAGAGCTGGGATTTCGGTCTCCAGCCCCCTCCTCCTCCTGACCCTACCTCAGAAGGTCCAAGCTCCACCCCCAGACTCTGTAATCAGATTCCGTCCCAGACCTTTTGGCCACGACCCCAGAGTCAAAATTCTCCACCCCAGGGTCTCCTAGCCTGGTCCCTACCTTCAGAGCCCCTCCGACCCCGCCCCAGGCGCTACGAACTCTGTCCCACGGCGGCAGCGGGTCTTGTCCGCTACCTGGGAAGGGCCTCCGCGAAGGTGCTCTGCAAGCTCCAGGGGCTGGGGCCCGACGTAGGAGGTGGGGCGCTGCTGATCCGGGTCGGGCCAGCCCGTGTACTGCGCCCTGGTCTCGCTTAACTGGTGCTTTGTGATCAGCGGGAGGCGCCAGCCGCGGTGTCTGAGCTGCGGGAAGGCGACGCGGGGATCCACCGTGAGGGCGCACGGTACTCCAGTGCGATCCCCACCCAGCCCTGTCCCCGGCGGACCTCTGCATCCCAGAACCTTACCTTTTCTTCTAACTCCTTGATCCCCACAGTCCGCGTGGGGTCCGAAGGCTCTGGGGCCCTGGGCTGTGCGTAGGGCCCGCCGTGGGTCTTAGGCACGTAAGCCGAGCCAGAGGTTGTCTCCCATCTGCTGATGACCTCGTCAAAATCCCAGATGTGCAAACCCTGCTTTGCGGCCGGCGGCAGGGGCTCCGCGACCGTGGACTGGGGAGAAGGACGTCGGCTAAAACGGTTCAAGTCCGGCCCGCGAGCCCTGATCTCTCCCAGTCGGTCCCCAACCCTTTGCTCCCTCCAGTTCCAGGCATCGAGGTTCCCTGGCCCCTCTTCTTTCAGACCCGGGACTCGGGGACCCTCCTCCTTCAGTCAGAGAGGAGTTCACGCCCCGAATCCACTTTTCTCTCAGCAGGTGTCTGGACCCCCAGGCCTCTCCTGCAGACACGGGAGCCTGGGCCCCCAGTCTCCTCCTGGCCAGGAACCTAGCGTCCTCTCACCTGCACGGTGGGCGGGGGAAAGGGCACAGACGGGATAAGGTGGTGGGCGACACCACCGCTGCTGAGATGCCCGCTGGGCCAGGATCCAGGCACCTCGGTCCCAGGGATTGGGGGCCATGGGGGACCGTAGCGCGGAGCTAGGGTCCGCCCCGCCATGGTCCCACCCCTGCGGGGTAGCCACGCAGGGGCAGGCTTGTTGTTGCTGTTGCCCCAGGTAACAGAACCCGCCCCCCACCCCCGCCCCCGAACTCAGCCAATGGAAGGCCTGCAGGTGTGCGGATGGTTGGATAGAGTGAGAAACAGACCCAGGCACAGAGGGACAGGGACTTTGAGGGAAGGGCACAGAAACTCAGAGAAATGGGGGAGGGGAGTCCCAGAGAGAGAGAAAGAGAGAGAAGGGCAGAAAGAGGGAGGCGGGAGGAAGGGGGAATAGAAGCTCAGAGTTGCAGGGAATTTGAGAGACACAGAGACTCCAGGTTGGGGGAGACAGAGACCCAGAGGGGGAGGAGGACAGAGACCACCCACCGCCATCAGGGAATCCAGGAGAAACAGCCCCCTTTCTTACAGGGTCCCAACTCTCTTAGCCCCCTCCTCCCTCTGCCAGTCCTGCCTACCTCAGGGTAACGATTTCCAGACTTCCCCAGGGCTCTCCCTCCCTCCCTGTGTGCGCTGAAGGAGTGAGCCCGGGGCTCGGGCTTCGTCTGTCCTGCCTGCCTTTGATTTGGTTGAAAACTTCCACCTGGATAGGGGGGTGGGTGACGAGGGAGAGACCCACAGACACATACACAGGGAAATACTTAGCAAAAAGAGACGGGAGGGGATGTGGAAAGAGCTTTGATGAGAAAGAAAGACAAGAACGGGTGAGAGACAGTGAATGAGAAACAGATAGAGAGCTACTGACCCAGGGACAAGAGACAGAGAGGGAGGTGACAAAAAAGAGTGGGAACCACAGACCTAGAAACACAGCGATGTAGAAACAAAGGCAGCCAGACCCGGCCCAGCCCTGCCACCCCTACCCTTCCCAGGGGCCCAGTCTGTGTTGGCGGGGGGATGGGGGATGTCTATGGTTTCAGTCCTTAGCCTGAAGCTGGTTCTAAAAGAATGTGTGTGTGTGTGTGTGTGTGCGTGCGCGCGCACTTGCGCGCGCCCACGCGCCGCGTGGTTTGGCAACAGGCTTAAGTTATGGACTGGTGATACATGAAGGGGTATCCTGAAGGTGTGGGGTCTACCCCTGACTTCCCTTGTCACTTCCTTGCCTTAAAGACCTTTTGGTCAAGCTTCTGCCTTCTCAGCTCCCGCTAGCTCATCCCACTAACCCATTCTTCAGATGGGGAAAACTGAGGCTACCTTCTGCAACCTGGCCCCTGGTCCCACTGAACCCCTCATTCAAGTCTCTGGGGCCGTTTCTCCTTTTGGATTTTCCTGGCCCACTCAAAGCCTATCACTGTCCACATGACCCCTGATCCTAGCCAGGAGCAGGTCAATTGGTCAGAACCTTATGCCATACTCAAGGCTGACAATTCTAAGGTCTAATTCTTTCCCAATATGGGGCAAAAGTTGGGACAGAAAAGGAGGCAGAAACCTGACTCCAACTCCCCAACAGTGTTAAACTCTCTAGCATCCTGACCTCTTATCATTCAACCTTGCTTGTGCTCCTGTGATGGGTAGCTCACTGCCTCAAAAGAGAACATTCTAAGCCAACACTCGCCCCATATGACGAAGTAAGATTTCTCATTCAAACCCCAGCCCCCACCTAGTTGCTTACATGTCCGTTTTTACACTCCCCCACCCACTTCTTGACATATCACTTCCTTGTCATTCTCTCCAGGGTGAGCAAGATGTCCTCTGAAATCAAATGGTTAGCAACTTAGAAGCTGAGGTTCCTCTGATGGTTAAATCCACCAGAGTTGATCTGAAAAAATGTGTATTAGTGTTGATAAACAGTAGACACTCAGAAAATATTGAGTATTATCATCATCATCATTACCCTCAAGTTCATCCAGAAGAACTCCTATTCATCCTTCAAAACCCCATTTGGTTTCACCACCTGTCTTGCATCGATTGAGCTCTCCAACTCAGAAAGCTGTGATTTTGTGACCATTTCACAAGTTCCCAAACTGAGGCCCAGGGCAGCCAGGCCACCCCTGAGGTCCCTCAGCATCCAGCTGTCTTCTTCCTCTGCCTGCCCAGTTCCTGAGCATGGGCCTCAGGCCCGACCAGTCCGGCTGAGGAGCGTACAGACGCACGCAGTGTCAATTCGAATCCATCGCCAGCCTACACGGCCCTGGGCATCAGCAGTCAATGCCCGCACGTAGGACTGCTTGGCCTTACACTCAGACACCCAGTGCCTCCGGTCCACACCCCGGCACCCACCCCCACCCCCACCAGGGCCACTTTCCTCGGTGGCGCTGTCAGCCTTGCAGCGGGTCTCAAAGAAGTACTGGCGGAGGGGGCTGCCTCCAGCCGCAGGAACCTCGCCCAGCACCTCCACCTCACGCCCACGCAGGTCCACAGCTGTCCGGCGGTCTGTCACCCAGCCGCTGACCGCATCACACACAGCCAGCTCTCCCCGGCGACTTGCTGGTGCCGTCTCGCTCACCCCTCGCCGACTGCGGTTGGCGGGGCTGCCTGCTGGCTCCCCAAAGGCCCCAGCCTCCAGCAGGAAGAGTAGAGGGGGCCCAGTGGGGGCACCCCTGGACAGGACTACTCGGGGAGACAGGAGGTCCCACTCCGGGGCTAGAAATGGGGGCAGTGGTAAGGGTGGGGGATGGGGCTCCATTGGGACACTGGGGAGGAGGAAAAGGAGGAGGATGGGGAGGGAGCAGGAGGGGCTGGGGAGCATCTCGCCGAGCACCTGAGGATAGAGAGGGAAGCTGGGGTTAGAGATGAGGATAAAAACTTAGTGGGGGAGGGGGGCAGAGGTTGGGAACTCCAGGGGGACCTGAATTCCAGAACCATGGGGAGGTCCTTGTTCTAGAACCTTGGAGGGACCTTATATTCTAGGACTTAGATAACACCCAACTTCTAGATTAATCATAGTTATTCTACTACTATTGCTAATAATAGCCAACGAATCAGCAAATGGAGAAATACTGGCTCAGAGAGGTGAGCTGGATCCCACAGCCAGCAAATGCCAGAAGTAGGACTTGAGCCCTGTCAGAGCAACTCCACCCTGCATCCTACCCCTACCTACAACCCTGAGGGACCCTAAGTCCTACAGCCTAGAGGAGGTTTGAGGTTCCAAAATTCTGAGAAAAGCCATGTTCTGGTATCCTAGCAAGACCCAAGTTCAGCTCAAAACTGCCACTGAGAAGGCAAGACATTTCCTCTCCTGTGTGGGGCCTCAGTTTCCCTGTCCAAGAAACTGGGGGGACACCTGGGTGGCTCAGTTGGTAAAGCGTCCGTCTGCCTTTGGCTCAGGTCATGATCCCAGGGTCCTGGGATTGCATCCTCCCTCAGGCTCCCTGCTCAGCGGGGAGCCTGCTTCTCTCTCTGCCTGCCACTCCCCCTGCTTGTGCTGGCTCTGACAAGTAAATAAATAAAATCTTAAGAAAAAAAAAAATGAATCAGGGGCTGGGAGATAGTGGTGAGGGTGTGGATCCTACAGTTTCTCTGCAATATTCTGGAAGTCTGTGGTTCTGGGAAAGTGGTGTGGAGAGAAGTGGGAAGCAGCAGGTGGTTACCAGACCTGTCAGCACCTCCTCCACCTCCAGGCTCCAGTGCTGGGGGCCCCCAGGCTCTGGGGGGCCCCTGCGGAGGACACAGGTGGTCCCCTCTTTCCTGACATCTCAGGGGAGGGAAGGGGCAGCCACCTAGGGGGAAAAGGGAACAGGCAGGTTGTGTGGGCAAGTGGGGGAGGGAACCTGAGCACTCCCCTTCCCAGTGTTCCTCTTAAAGTGTAGGGTACCCAAGAGTCAAGGCCGCGCCCCCTTCCCAGAGGCCCCTTCCTTGACCAGGTGATGGCTCCTGGCTGGGATGGGAAGCAGATGGGGGAGGTGAAGGGAGAGGCGAGGGTGGGGGGGGGGAAGGGGGCGGGGGGATAGAGGAGGCTGGAAAAGATTACATCCTCCATGGCCCATTCATCTCCCAGACAGGGCGGGGGTGGCGCTGGTCTGGACACCCGGGTCCCTGAGGGCCCACACTCAAGAAGCCCTGGGTCCCTGAGGCTGCTTCCTGGAATGTTCTATCCTCACAGGACAGGCCGGGGCCCGTCCAAGACTTCTACCGCACATACCTGGAGTAGTTGCCTGCCTTGGCTCCGAGATGGGGAAATGGAAAGAAGGCTGTGAAGGGACCCAACTGCGCCGATCCAACCAGGACCAGAAGTCGGCTACCTCCTCCCTCAGACCAGAAGTGCCGGTCCCCTGCCTCCTCCTCCTCCTTCAGGAGGCCAGATCCCCAGCTCCCTCCCTCCCATGCTGGAGTCCAGACACCCAGCGCCCTCCTCCCTCAGACCTGGGAGTTCTGGAGTTCAGGACTCTCTTCCCCAGGTATCCAGAATGACGTACTCCCAGCCCCCTTCTCCCAAAGAGGATTTGGCCTGGGGGTCGGGTCTCCTGAGATCCCGCTGGGGGTAAGCGGCTGCGGATCTGGAGGACTCCGCTCCTGCCTCAGTTTCCTCCGCCAAGCCCCGCCCCCGCTGGCCCCGCCCCCGTCCCTCCCTACCCGGGGGCAGGGCGACCGGGACGCCGGAATCCCGGGGGGGAGGAGGCGCGGAGGCTCTTACCTGGGGCGCCCTCTTCGGCTCCTCCGCGGCCCGGGCGCGGCGCGGCTCCTCCTCCCGCTCGCTGGCTGCAGGGACGCCCGCTCGCCCGCCGGCTCCTGGCGGCGCACTCTCCGGGGGGCCCGGGCGGGGGCGGGGCCCGGGCGGGGGCGGGGCGGCGCGGGGCGGCGCCCGACGGCGGAGGAGGGGCCGGGGGATCCCGCCTTCCACGCGCGAGCCGAGGCCGCGGCAGCCCGGCCTGGCTCGCTCAGCTCCTGGCCCGCCTCGGCCCCGGGAGGCCAGGCGCCAGCCCCCTGCTCCCTCAGACGCGGGAGAGATCACCCCCAGCCCCCTCCTCCCTCAGACGCGGGAGTCCCGGCCCCCAGCCCCCTCCTCCCTCAGACCCGGGAGTCCCGGCCCCCAGCCCCCTCCTCCCTCAGACCCAGTAGTTCTCACCCCCAGCCCCCTCCTCCCTCAGACGCGGGAGTCCCGGCCCCCAGCCCCCTGCTCCCTCAGACGCGGGAGTTCTCACCCCCAGCCCCCTCCTCCCTCAGACGCGGGAGTCCCGGCCCCCAGCCCCCTCCTCCCTCAGACCCGGGAGTCCCGGCCCCCAGCCCCCTCCTCCCTCAGACCCGGGAGTCCCGGCCCCCAGCCCCCTCCTCCCTCAGACCCAGTAGTTCTCACCCCCAGCCCCCTCCTCCCTCAGACGCGGGAGTCCCGGCCCCCAGCCCCCTGCTCCCTCAGACGCGGGAGTTCTCACCCCCAGCCCCCTCCTCCCTCAGACGCGGGAGTCCCGGCCCCCAGCCCCCTCCTCCCTCAGACCCGGGAGTCCCGGCCCCCAGCCCCCTCCTCCCTCAGACCCGGGAGTCCCGGCCCCCAGCCCCCTCCTCCCTCAGACCCAGTAGTTCTCACCCCCAGCCCCCTCCTCCCTCAGACGCGGGAGTCCCGGCCCCCAGCCCCCTGCTCCCTCAGACGCGGGAGTTCTCACCCCCAGCCCCCTCCTCCCTCAGACGCGGGAGTCCCGGCCCCCAGCCCCCTCCTCCCTCAGACCCGGGAGTCCCGGCCCCCAGCCCCCTCCTCCCTCAGACCCAGTAGTTCTCACCCCCAGCCCCCTCCTCCCTCAGACCCGGGAGTCCCGGCCCCCAGCCCCCTCCTCCCTCAGACCCAGTAGTTCTCACCCCCAGCCCCTCCTCCCTCAGACCCGGGAGTTCTCACCCCCAGCCCCTCCTCCCCCAGACCCGGGAGTCCGGGCCCCCGGCCCCCTCCTCCCTCACACCCAGGAATCAGGACCCCCAGCCCCAACCTCCCTCACACCCAGTAGTTCTCACCCCCAGCCCCCTCCTCCCTCAGACCCGGGAGTCCCGGCCCCCAGCCCCCTCCTCCCTCACACCCAGTAGTTCTCACCCCCAGCCCCTCCTCCCTCAGACCCAGGAGTCCCGGGCCCCCAGCCCCCTCCTGCCTCAGACCCAGGAGTCAGGACGCCCCCTCCCCTCCTCCCTCAGACCCAAGAGTCCTCACCCCCAGCCCCTCCTCCCTCAGACTCGGGAGTCCTCATCCCCAGTCCCATCCTCCCTCAGACCCAGGAGTCCTGACCAGCAGCTCCCTCTTTCCTTAGAGCCAGGAGTCTGGGCCTGAGATTTCTTTGCATTCTTTTGCCAATTAAGTGTCAATCTCTGGGCAGATTCCCACCCTCTGCTCTCATCCCCACTTTCCCAGGAGCTCTAGGCCAGACATTAACCAGCTGGACTTGGGCAGTGATAAGACCCGAGGCCCTGGGAGACAGTGGATATGGGGGGGTTCTCCCACAGAGTCCTCTCTGCTGGAATTTCCTGGGTGGGGACTGGGGAGAAGGTCTGTCCTGAGCTCAGATAAGAGAAATTCAAGGTATTATTGGACTCGGAGATAGACAAGGATTTGATGTGGGAACACAATGACCTGCTCAGAGAAAAAAAAATGAATAGTGACAAAGGGAGATGGGAAAGGCACAGAAATGGAGAGAAAGGGGGGACAGAAACCCAGAGAGAGGACAGACCACTTGAGAGAAGGGGACAGAATCTCAGGAGAGGGACAGAAACCCAGTGAGAAGAGAGAGACCCTAAGACAGACTGAGGTCAGTTGGAGTTGGGAGTCCCAGTCCCTTCACCCCTCCCCCGGAGCTATTTCAGTAGGAAAGGTGATACCCATCTTGGGAGGGGCGGGGGGTCATCCCATACCCCTCCCTCAACCTAAATATAGCATGGTAAGGTGGCAGGAAGGGTGTCCCCGGATTAGGGTGTTCCCCTCTCCTGTTCCCCATCCCAGCAAGGCAACGTAGAAGGCTGTAGAAGGTGGCTGTGGGTTGTTTATTGAGGGTGGGGGAGGGGCACTTCCCCATCTGAGTGTCCCCTCGGATCACCTCCCTGACCTCTCCACACTGCCCCCCCCCCACTCCTAAGCAGCCAACAGGTCCCACCCCCTACCAGAGAGACTCTGTGTGACTTCCAGTCCCTGATGGGGTAGTACAGGTGAGTTTTCAAAGAAAAGTAGAACAGTTTGTGCACCCCTCCTCTTTCTTTGGGTCTCTGTCCCCTCTCCCTCTCTGTCTGGGCCTCTACCCCCTTCCCTCTCTCTGGATCTCTGACCTCTCCTCTCTGGTGGCCTTCCCAGCCTCTGTGGATCTCTGTCCTCCCCCTCCCAGGCCACTGCCCTCCTGCTCTCCCTCTTTCCCTTGGGTGTCCTCTCTCCAGGTCTTGGCCCCTCTCTGCATGTCTCCCCTCCTCTTCGGGTCTCCATGCTGGGTCCCAGACTCTGCTTTGTGTTTGCCACTGTGAGGGGGGTCTGTCTCCATTTCTGTCTCCAGATGTGCCTTTCCATTTCAGAGGGAGGGGACCACCTACAGATTCTATGGCTTTCGACCTTTATAAAACTCTTCCCACCATCTGTACCTTCTTCCGTCACTCTGTATAAAAAGGGGGTTGGATTAAATTGGGCGTTTCCAGACTGAATTCCTTAGCTGCATTTTGAGTTGCCAAGGACTCCATAGAGGTGTGTGTCCCTCAAACCAGGTCCCTTCTGATGTGCCACACTGCATCAAAGTAAGATTTCATTTGATCCAAAAAGGGAGGGGGGCAATAGCTAAAAATAACAACAACAACACTCTGTAAACCACTGGTTTTAATAAATTAATACAAGTAAAGTACTTTGGATGATGCTTTGGCACATAGGAAGCCCTATATGTTAGTGATTGAAGCATCCTGCTCTCCTTCCTCCTCCAAATGCCCTTTTAGTACTGAAAGCCCTCTGAAAATGTTTGGCTTCCTGCCCTTGGGTCCCACCCTCCCCTCTGAGCCTCAGTTTCTTTGTGAGAAACGAGGCTGGAGAATACCAGCAGGCTGATGGGACAGGTGGGGTCAGGCAGCCTGCCATAAATCCTCGCTCCTGGGGATGTGCCACGGGACCCTGGGAAGCCACTCCCATGCTCTAAGATTCTGGTTTCTCCCCTGGAAAATAGAGTGGGCTCCCCAGTTGGTCTGACATCCTTCCTGAGCTGTGGGAAGATAGGGTGGTGCTCCCTGATTTGGGATCTCTTCGTGATTCCATGGAAGAGAGACTGTGTATCTCTTGGGTTCAGAGGCACTGACTTTTTCTGCCTATTCCTTTTTTGGTTATCTTTCTCAAGGGTGCTCTGGTCTGGCTCCAAACTCTGGTGTCTGTCCCTCTCTGGGTGCCTGACACACACCCCCATCTCCATCTCCCACTCTTGGTCTCTGTCTCCCTTTCTCTTTGGAGTTTCTGACCCCCTTCCTCTGGGTCTCTGTCTCCCCATCTCTCTGGGTCTTTGTCTTCGTCTCCTTCTCCCTAAATCTCTCTTCTTCCCTCTTTGGGTCCTTGTTACCTCTTCTCTGGGTTTCTGTCTCTTTCTTTCTCTGAGTTTTTATCACTCCCGAGGTCTCTGTCCCCCCTCCTCGCCCCCATCATGCCTGTACAAAGTACATTCTCCCCCTTTCCCCTTCCCTTGTGGCTCTGATCTCCATGGTTGGAAGCAAAACCGTAGGGAAGGACAGATAGAGAGGGTATGAATGGCAAAATGAAGCAGGTGTGGAGCCAATGGAAGGAGTGTCTACATCTTCCTAGCTCACCCGGAGGCCCTCTGCATGAACAACTGAATCAAGGGATCCAGCACCCAGCCCTGCCCCTTATAGTAAGTGATGCTGGGCAAGTCAGTTCCGTTTGTCTCGCAGAGTCCATAACACCACACTTGCCTCCTGATACATGATTCCTCCCCGGTGTTGTTATTCTTGGGTCCTGGTGCTACCACTAAATGCAAAACAAACCAACATGGCCCTATGGAGTCCATATGCACAGTCCAACTCAACATAACATTCCTACAGGACTCACAATGACACAACTTGGGGTAACTCACCTCAGCATAGCCCCACAAGACTCACATGGTTATACAGTTCAATATGATTCATCTCAGTGTAGCCCCCAAAACTTCCAGCGACACTACTCTACACAATCAACCCAACAGAACCCTGGAGGACTCATACTGTCATACATTCCAACCCAACTTAACCTAACGTGACCTAGAAAGCTCACATTCAATCACTTGACTCTTCATATTTCTACACGACTCACAAGTTCACAGAACCTAAAATAACATAGCCCTAGAAGAATCGCGAAGCCACACAATTTCCAACATGTCTCAACTCAACTCCACAACACCATGCACGAACACGCACACAGTCCCAACAATGCCGTGGGTGACCACCTAACTTGATCCAAAATGGTCCTAGGGGGACTCATAAAGCCACAGAATCCTGCACAATGCAATTGGACAAGACTCACGCAGACTCAACAACACAGCCCAACCCAATGAGGACCTAAAAAACAAAACTATGTGATCAAATCTATCTCAACACTTAACCACGAAAGGCTCCATAAATCTTGCACAACCCAATGTAGTACAAACCAATGGAGCCTCCCCATCAACTCATTATAACCCACTGCCATTCACCGTCACTTAAGGAAGCACCCACAGGAGCTACCAAACCACAACTCAAGACCCAACAAGACTCAGTGTTCCCCAACTCATCACCACTTAACCTAGTTCTTCCTAAACCCAACCCCCTCCCCCAACCTTCCTATCCCTCCCTCCCTCTCTCCCTCCCTCCCTCCAAGGAAATGTAAGGTCCTGCAGACCTCAACTGTCCCTCACACTTCGGTGACCATGTGTTTCCCAGGGGGGGCCCAGAGTGGAGGTGGTAGCTCAGTCATCTCTCCATCCATCAATCCCCCATTGACCTTGCCCTCCAGTGGGCCACAGGGCTGCGTGTCCACATGGCTGTACATCCCAGCCTCTTCGCCCTCTGTCTCCCGGTGGTAAAAGTAGCTGAAGTTGGAGACAATGACCGGAACGGGCAGGGAAATGGTCAGCACTCCAGCGATGGCGCACAGAGAGCCCACTATTTTGCCACCCACAGTGACGGGTGCCATGTCTCCATAGCCAACTGTGGTCATGGTGACCACCGCCCACCAAAAGGACTCAGGGATGCTGGTGAAATGGGAGTCTTCCCGGTCGACCTCAGCAAAGTAGACTGCACTGGAGAAGAGGACCACACCGATGAAGAGGAAGAAGATGAGGAGACCCAGCTCACGCATGGAGGCCCGTAGTGTCTGGCCCAAGATCTGCAGGCCCTTTGAGTGACGGGACAGCTTGAAGATTCGGAAGACGCGCACCAGTCGGATGACTCGTAGGATGGCCAGTGACATGGCCTGCTGGCCCACACCCCGATGCCTGGCTAGCTCGGTGCCTAGCGCCACAAAGTAGGGTAGGATGGCCACAAAATCGATGAGGTTCATCACGTTCTTGAAAAAGGCCGCCTTGCTTGGGCAGGCCGCCAGGCGCACCAGTAGCTCAAAGGAGAACCAACAGATACACAACGTCTCCACCACAAAAAACGGGTCATCGAAGGGCATGCGAGATAGGGGTCCAGGCACTGGGCTGGAGCCATTCAGCCGAGCGGGGAACTGCAGGGAGGAAGGGGTTCAGAGAGGACCACACCAGGGCTGGGACACACTGGAACAGCCACATTTGTGATTTAAATGTCCAACTACTTCTGTACAAATTGGTCAGCAGTCATTGCCCCCAGGCCTCCAGTGACCCAGCTGTTCTAGATTTCTTTCCGGAACCCTAGGGATCATGCCTGCGTGGCTGACTTTATAGTCCCTGATCCTTCACTGGTGGGGACTCCTGAAATGGTGCCTGAGTGAGGCTCCATCTCTTCCTTCCCAAAGTCCCACCCCCAGCTTTGATTTTCCAGATGGGGGAGGGTCGCCACCCAGGTCCCACTTCCTTGCGCTCTGCCCTCCCTAACCCCAGTCCAGACTACAAGGGCTAAAGGCCTTCTTTGTACACCAAACCCTGGGGCCGCTGCTCTCATGGCCCTCAGCCTGACTTTATTTGTGACGGATTCCTCCTACCTCGGCCCTCTGTCTTCAGCTCCCTCAAGTTCCACTCTCACCACCTCCAGCCCATCTTTCTATTGGTTACTGCCAGCCGCACTGACCCTTGATTTTTCAGTCTCTCAGCCCTCCGCTTCATTTCTTAACGTCCCGGTCTTCCCGCCCTCCCGCCCTCGGCAAGCCATTTTCTCACCTGTCTCAACCCCGCCCTGCAACAGGGAGGTCCTCCTAGTCAGAGCCTCAGGCCCCGTCCCCATGAGGCTATCCCTTCCCCGCCCCCAACCCGCCTTTAAAAGGGTAGATTCCTCCCCTCCCTCCGCCCCCCCCCCCGACCCCCGGTCAGGCCCTGTCCCTGGGTTGTCCACCTCTCGAGCCCCTTGCCCCACCTATGATTGGCCTGTCTCCCAACAAGCCCCTCGATGCCCCGCCCACCCACAGCCGGGCCCCTCCTTCCTGAGAGGCCCCGCCTCCCAGCCTCCCCGCTCGGCTCCTCCCGAGCCCCGCCTCTCTCCGCCCAGGCCCCGCCCCCTCACCGGGCCAGCAGCCGCTACCGCAGCGAGCCCCGGGTTGTGGCGGTCGTCGCGGAAGTCCGGCAGCGTCTCGAGGCAGAAGACGACGATGGAGACGAGGATGACGAGCACGGAGACGACGGCGAGCACGCGCGCGGCCTGCGAACTCTCGGGGAACTCGAAGAGCAGCCAGAGCTGGCGCGCGAAGGCGCGGCGGGGTAGGGGGCGCTCGGGCGGCACGGGGCAGCCCTCGTCCTCGCGCAGGCGCGCCAGCGCCGCCGTGCCCAGCCCGTAAAAGGCCACCTCCTCCAGGAAGACGTCGAGCGGCACGTGCGCCGGCCGCCGCAGCCGCCCGCCAGACTGGTAGTAGTAGAGCACGGCGTCGAAGCTGGGCCGGTGCCGGTCAAAGAAGTACTCGCGGCGCGCGCCGTCGTAGAAGCGGCCGCGACGCGCCGGGTCCCCTAGCAGCGTGTCCGGGAAGCGGCCCAGGGTGCGCGCCCGCGTCTCGAAACGCAGCCCGGCCACGTTGAGCACCACGCGCTCGCAGCAGCCGCACGGCGGCGGGCACCGCGGCTCCATGGCGCGCGCAGCCCCGGCGACCCGCGGACGGACGTGTGGCCCCGACGCCCGACCCGGCCCGGCCCGGCCCGGCCCCGCCTCGGCCGCCGCCGCCGCCGCCGCCCCAGCCTGGTGTCCGGTGTCCACGCGTAAAAATAGCCCGGCCGTCCGGCCAGGGCGCGGGGGAGGGGGCGCCTGACCCCGGCGGGGCAGAGGGCGGCCGCGCGCCCTCTGCCGGGGCGCCCGCCCCTTCCCCCCATCGCCGTTCCCCGCGCGCATCCGGCTCTCGGGTCCCCTTTCCCTCTGTGCCGCGTCTCTCCGGGTTTCCGTGTGCGTGTGTCTCCCGTCTCTTTTTTACGAATATCTGAGCCCCTCTGTTGGAGTCACAAACTTCCACGTCTTTCTCGTTATCTTGTATGTCTCTGCGTCTTCATTTTGAGTCTCTGTCAAGGGATGTATCTTTGAGTATCTCTATGGGTCAGTTATCTCTGAGTTTTGCCATTCTAGAGGACTCTGTATTTGGAGGTCTCTGTCAGTTGTCTGTGTCTTGGTCTCTCTGCATCTCCGTCTTTGACTCTTGTTTCTTAGGGGCGTGTCTCCATTTATCTCTGTCTCCCTTGGTCTCTGTCTCTCCCCTCTGCCGGGATCTCTTCTCATTACCTCTTAGCCCTCTGTGTCTCTGTCCCTGGGTTTCCCTGGGTTTCCCTGGGGCTCCCCTTGGGTCTCTTTGCCTGTATTCCTGAAGTATTGTGAGTTTCTGTCTCAGGGCCTCCGGAGGACTCAGGGTCTCTGGAGTCATATCTCTGACTCTCTTTCTGACCATAACTGTAGGTCGGCTCTGCCACTGCCCTGGTGGTTGCCCCGTCCTGGAGATGCTCCAGCAGCTGCAAGCCATGGTCATGTGCGCCCCACACCCCGTTCCCTCATCAAGGTCTCCACCTGTATTCGAGGTCAGACATTCGGAGACCCAGTGAAGCCTGAGTAGCCCTGGGTAGAGCAGGAGGAGGCCGGGCCTGCCAGGAACAGGTGGAGGGTGGGCTGGGGAGATGACGCAGAGTCACTCGAAGGCACTAAAGGACAGACAGACGATGGCCTTCCAGCCACCGGTGTCCTATGACACCCGCGTAAAAATAGCCCCATCTGATGGGCTTGGGGGGAAGTGGTGGGGATTGGTTACCGGGACTCAGGGGAGTGGGGTCCCGAGCGCCCTCTGCTGGGCAAGTGCAGAGAAACACGAAGGTTATGACTCCCTGCGAATGCTGGCACCCTTTTTCTTCTGTCTGCAATTTCTGGGACGCTGTGTCACCATCCCTCTGGATTTCTGGGTCCCTCTCTCCGGGTCTCTACCGTCCCTTTGTCTGTGTCTATGTTTATGCCATTTTCAGAGCCCACAGAGAGACCCCTATCTTTGTGGGTCTCTGAACTCTGTGTGAACTGGTCCTTTCTTCCTGCCGCCGTCTTACACCCTCCTACCTGCAATGGGTGCGCCTTCTTTCCGTTTCTTTTTTCTTTCTTTTTTTTTTTCTCCTTGCTGTTTCCAGACCATCCATTCTTCCTCCTTCAGCTCCTCTGACTTTTTTTTTTTTTTTTAAGCTCTATGCCTAATGTAGGGCTTGAACTCACAACCCAGAGGTCAAGAGTCGCATGCTCTACTGAGCCAGCCAGGCGCCCTCTCCCTCAGCTCCTTTGAAGCTCAAGCTATCCATGGACACTTCCCATCCTCCCATACTGAACTTATCCCTTTCTCTCTGGCCACTCCTGCTCTTTCATGGAAGGTTTTAGATCCTGGCTCCCTATCCCTCATTCTACTTTTTTTTTTTTTTAAGATTTTATTTATTTATTTATTTGAGAGAAAGAGAGAGAGGCAGAGAAACAGCATGAGAGGGGAGAGGGTCAGAGGGAGAAGCAGGCTCCCTGCTGAGCTGGGAGCCCGATGTGGGACTCGATCCCAGGACTCCGGGATCATGAACTGAGCCGAAGGCAGTTGCTTAACAACTGAGCCACCCAGGCGCCCCCCTATCCCTCATTCTAAAGCTACTGTCCTAATCCTTAGTGATTTCATTATCCCCACAGATGATCCTACTAAAACCTGACTTGTAACTGGATTGTCTTTTCCAAAAAGGAACCCATTTCTTGTCCTACATGGTAACCTTGAATCTTGCCACTCCCTATCTCATGGAGACCATGTCCCCAGGTTTTGGTGACTTCCCCAACTAACTGACCATCTTGAAAGGAACACCATATGATTTCCGAGGCTGGGTCATGAAAGGCAACTTTCGGCCCCACTCTTTTCCTTGGGACACTTGCACAGTCCAGATGGTGAGGTTCATGGGGAGAGGACCCTACGTTACTGGCCCTCGGCCCTGTCTAAACTCACAGCTGTTCACCAGCATCAACCTTGTGAGTGACCATCTGAAGAAGCACATCCTCCTGCCCCATCCAGAGCACCCTGCTGATGCTCCTGGAGCAGAGATAAACCCTCCCTTGAGTCCCCTCCAATCCCTGCCCAGATTGCAGACGAGCAACTGAAATAAGTTATCTTTGTTGTTTTCAGCCATGCAGACTTTGGGTGTTTTTTTTTTTTTTTAAAGATTTTATTTATTTATTTGAGAGAGAGAATGAGATAGAGAGCATGAGAGGGGGGAGGGTCAGAGAGAGAAGCAGACTCCCCGCTGAGCAGGGAGCCCGATGCGGGACTCGATCCCAGGACCCTGAGATCATGACCCGAGCTGAAGGCAGTCGCTTAACCAACTGAGCCACCCAGGCGCCCCTTTTGGGTGGTTTGTTACAAACACTGTGGCAATAGATAACCCAAACCGGGCGTCTTGGTACTCCCGAGCCCACCATTTCCATCGATCTTGCTCACTGTCCTACCTAGCCATCTACTTTCTTTCTTCCTTTCTTTCTTTTCTTTCTTTCTCTCTCTCTTTTTTTTTTTGAATGTTTTATGAAGCTACAATTCACATACCGTACAATTCACGCATTTAACCTGTATGACACAGTGGGTTTTTCATGTATTCCTAAGAGTTGTGCATCCATCACAACTTGAGGACATTTTTGTTAACCCCCAAAGAAGCTCTGCACCCCTTATCTGTCACTCAATCGTACCACCTGATTTCATGGTCATACCTTTGTCCTTTTCATTTACCAGTAATGACATTCCGTCCGAACTTTGTTTTTATCATACCATGCTCCTTTTCCCCATCAACTGCATTGAAAAACTTTCAAGCCTGCCAGCACCGACAGTGCATTGATCCTGTTACCTTTTCATTATCTCTGGCTCCCCCCACCTTGTCCTCCCTTCCCTCTTTCCCCTGCTGCCACTATTCCATGGGACACCAATAAAACCCGTCCCTTTTGGGCGCCTGGGTGGCTCAGTCGGTTAAGCGTCTGCCTTCGACCCAGGTCATGATTCCAGGGTCCTGGGATCGAGTCTCCCTGCTCAGCTGGGAACCTGCTTCTCCCTCTCCTTCTGCCCCTCCACCCTGCTCATGCTCTATCTCTCTCAAATAAATAAAATCTTAAAAAAGAATAAAATTCCTCACTTTCCTGTATCTTTTTTAGATTTTTTTAAATGTTTATTTATTTATTTGAGAGAGAGCGAAAGAGAGAGTATGAGCAGGCGGGAGGGGCAGAAGGAGAGGGAGAAGCAGACTCCCCACTGAGCAGGGAGCCCGATGCGGGACTCGATCCCAGGACCCTGAGATCATGACCCGAGCTGAAGGCAGACGCTCAACCGACTGAGCCAACCTAGGCGCCCCACTTTCCCGTATCTTAAACTCCCTTGACTATGACCCCCTCCAGGGCACTGTTGTAGTCAAATTCTAACCCTGGTAAATCCTCTCATCTACTCTGTGCCTCCCTGCGGGGGCACAGGGAGGGATATGGGGGGCTGGACCCTACATCCCAGCCCTGCCTGCGACCCTGCTACATGTCCCTCATCAGTGTACCCTCTGCTTCCCCAAGCTGGAAAAGGCAAGCAAGGAAATGAATTCTGTCCTGGAGCCTCCCTCCAGAAGGAACACAGCTCTGCGGTAGACTACTGGCCACCAGAACAGAATGAGAATAAATATGCATTGTTTTAAGCCACTAAATTTGTAGTAATTTGTTACAGCAGCAATAGGAAATAAACAGATTCTCCCATTCCTCCGTATCATTCCCTTCATTCCCATGTTTTAATAACATCTTCGTTTGTTACTTTATTATTTTTTTAAGATTTTATTTATTTGAGGGGCGCCTGGGTGGCTCAGTTGTTAAGCGTCTGCCTTACGCTCAGGTTGTGACCCCAGGGTCCTGGGATCAAGCCCCGCATCGGGCTCCCTGCTCGGCGGGAAGCCTGCTTCTCCCTCTCCCTCTCCCTCTCCCCCTGCTTGTGTTCCTTCTCTCACTGTCTCTCTCTCTGTCAAATAAATAAATAAAATATTTTTAAAAATAAAGATTTTATTTGAGAGAGAGCGCACACGCATGCGATTTGCAAGAAGCAGAGGGGGGAAGGGAGAAGCAGACTCCCCGCTGAGCAGGGAGCCCATCATGGGGCTCGATCCCAGGACCCCAGGATCACAACCCCCTAGCAGAAGGCAGCCATTTAACTGAGCCACCCAGGCACCCCACGACCTCAACATTTTTGAAGAATACTGGTCATTCAGGGGCGCCTGGGTGGCTCAGTCGTTAAGCGTCTGCCTTCGGCTCCGGTCATGATCCCAGGGTTCTGGGATCGAGCCCCGCATCAGGCTCCCTGCTCTGCAGGGAGCCTGCTTCTCTCTCTCCCACTCCCCCTGCTTGTGTTCCCTCTCTCGCTGTGTCTCTCTCTGTCAAATAAATAAATAAAATCTTAAAAAAAAAAAAAGAATACTGGTCATTCATGTTGTAGCCTGCCCCAGTCATGTTGTGACTGGATAGAGATTATAGAGGGTTTTTTTTGGGTAGGGGGATACCACAGAAGTGAAATTCCCTTCTCATCATAACATATTGGAGGCACATGATATGTCTTACTTCAGGTGATGGCAACTTGGATCACTTGGTTAGGGTAGTATCTGCTGGGTTTCTCCACCGTAAAGTTATTATTTTCTGGCTGTAATTAATGAACATTTGGGGGAGCCATCTTTTTTGTTCCGTCAACTTTACTGATGTTGAGTTGACACAATAAAATTTACTCTTCATGGCATACACTTCTGAGTTCTGGCCAATGTCTACAGGGTCAAGTAACTGCCAGTGCAAATCAAGACATAGGAAAGTTCTAGCATTCCTTGAAAGTTGCCTCCAGCCCTGCCCTTTGTAGTCAACTGCTTCCCTACTTTCAGCTCCTGGAAACCACTGCTCTGTTTTCTCTCCCCTGCCCTGTCCCTGCAGTTTTGCTTTTTCTAGAATGTCAAATGAATGAAATCATACAGTCCGGAGCCTCAGGAATCTGGCTTCTGTCGCTTAGCATAATGCATCGAAGATTCATTCCTATTGTGTCGATCAGTCAGAACTATTCGAAGCCATGGACGGACGCTCATTTGTTATTCCATTCATTTGAGTTCTATTTCGTTTTTTGGCGATTATGAATAAAGCTGTAATAAAAATCCATGTATCTGGGGCGCCTGGGTGGCTCAGTCGTTAGGCGTCTGCCTTCGGCTCGGGTCATGATCCCAGGGTCCTGGGATCGAGTCCCACATTGGGCTCCCTGCTCGGCAGGAGGCCTGCTTCTCCCTCTCCCACTCCCCCTGCTTGTGTTCCTGCTCTCACTGTCTCTCTCTCTGTCAAATAAATAAATAAAATCTTTTAAAAAAAATCCATGTATCTGGTTTTGTGTGAACATGTTTTTAGGTCTCTTGAATAATTAGCTAAGAATGGGCTTGCTGGGTTGTATGATAAGTGGATGCTTAACTTTTTTTTGCCATCAGGAGACAACTGTGTGTCATAAGAGGTTGTATCTTAATATCTTTTTTCTTTTAAAGATTTTAGTTATTTATTTGACAGAGAGACAGAGCACACAAGCAGGGGGAGCAGCAGAGGGAGAGGGAGAAGCAGGCTCCCCACTGAGCAGGGAGCCCATTGCAGGACTGGATCCCAGGACCCCGGGGATCATGACCCTAGCTGAAGGCAGACGCTTAACTATCTGAGCCACCCAGGCGCCCCAGGAGAACACTGAAAAGAAAACTTTCTGGGCACCTGGGTGGCTCAGTCGGTTAAGCGCCTGCCTTTGGCTCAGGTCATGGACTTGGGATCCAGCTCCTTGTTAGGCTCCCTACTCAACGGGGATTCTGCTTCTCCCTCTCCCTCT